ATCTGTTCTGCGATGGGCTGGTTAGCTTTATGGAAAGTTTTCAGAATCAGTGTAGATTCTTAACTGTTCTTCTTTTGCCCAATTGTTTGTATTTTTTTTTTTTTTTTGTTTTTTTTTTTTTTTTTTTTTTGAGACAGCCACGTCTCTGCTTCTCTCGCTCGCGCTCTCGCGCTGAGTGGCGCATGGCGTAGGCCTGAGTCACAACCCTAACTCCTGGGTTAAGCATCTACTGCCTCCCAGCAGTCCTATGCGCCCTTGTAATGTGTAGCTCGCAATGAACAGGCAACAGAAGACAATTGCCGGTAATAATGTAAAAAAAATGGAGACAATGGATAAGGATATATCCACCCAAGATTAGGTGAATGTATGGTATTAAGTTTGGCCTCGGCGCCTTTCTTTTTATATTTTTTAAATAGGTAGAGCGGAAACTAAATGTCCATAATGGGGTCTCGGACTCTGGCTGACCGTATATTGTTGTGATCTGACGCGCTTTGAGCAATCCGCCCGTCTGCTTGCCTCAAAGAGTGCTAGATTACAAGCGTGGCACCGGCCTGGCTGTTTAGCTGATTTCTTGGCCTTTTCTATATACCAACTTTAGGAATCAATTTGTCTTGGTTAGGGATATTACTATTCCTGACTGAAAAGTAAACCTGTAGCAATTTTTATGATGGTATTGTTGGATTGAGTATGTTGAGCCACCGCGCCCGGTCCACATTTTTGATTGTTTGAAGATACCTAATTAAATATACCCCTGAAAGTTTGATAACTTTTTGAAAAATTTAATAAATATTATATTCCAAGCTTTCAATGATTTCCCATTATGTAAACTTCACACTTTTTGGCCTGGCATTCTTGCTGTAATTAAAAAACCCATCTCAAGATCCAAATAGTCCCACTAGGTTTGTGAAAGAAAAAAAAAATAAAAAGTATATGCATTGATGAGAAAATTAAAAAAAAATAAAATAAAATAAAATAAAAAGTAGAAGTTAATTTTAATATAAGAAAGAAAAACCCATTTCCTATTTTTCATTCACATTGTACTCTGTTCATACTACTTTATATACCTATCTCTATATATCTATCTCTTTATAATGCTGTCTAAAGGACCTAGGATAGATTGTAAATCTGTAGATTATGTGAAATCCTAAAACTAATGTTTGCATGATGATCTTCTGTCCAGAGAGTAAGTATACTTGGAGAGAACACACAATAGATTTAGACCAGTGATTCTCAACTGGAAGCAGTTTTGCCTCCTAGGGGCTATTTGTCAATGTCTGGAGATATTTTTGTTTGTCACAACTAGGAGAGGGAGCTTTACTGGATCTAGTGGGTATAGGTCAGGGATGTTGCTGAACATTCTACAATAGACAGGACAGCCCTTTCAAAATAAAGGGCATATCCAGTCCAAAATGTCTAGAGTGCCGAGGTTGACCTTAGTCCAGACCGAAGTGGAGTTCTTATAACTAAGCAGTATTATGTAGTGAATAAGAGCATGGACTCTGCAGCCAGACTGCCTGAGTTTGCATCTCAGCTGTGCCACTTCCTAGCTTATACCTTTGGTAACTAATCTCTCTTTCCTTCTGTAAAGTAGGATTGAAAACAATAACCGTACCTACTTTATAGGATTATTGTGAAGATAGATGAATTAACATATGTAAATCTTTAGTGCCTAGAACATAGTAAACACTCAAGAAGTGTTAGCATTGTTAAGATCGAAACTCTTGGCTTCAAAAGTATGCGTTCTTGGTACCTTCCTGATTATGAGTTAGCCCAGGAAATCCCTAGGTTTATATATATTTGCTGATCTGCAGAAGCTGAACAGTATACTTGCTTTGTCTTAATACTACTAATACCAGTACTTATATTTTAATAGCTTTGTCCATCAGCATATTGTAAGTCTGTTTCATACTTCCGTAATTTTTTTAAAAAATTAATTTTTTTGTAATTAAAACAAATTTTTAAAAAATTTTTTTGTAATTGCTTTTATAATTTTTTTCATCATAATCATCATCCAGTGGTTAGGGCAAAGCCCTAACTTCTATCCTTAATGTTCTAATACATTAAAAAATACATTAGGATGTGTATGTGTGTGATAAATATGCACATACACATATGTGATTATATTAAACACTAATTTTTAAACACAAAACAAATGAAAAACTATGACCTTTTTTTCCCACAGGCTATTCGAAGTTTTCAAGTGGCTCTTCACATCTATCCAATGAACCCCGAAATATGGAAAGAAGACCTCTCTTGGGCAAGAACGCTCCAGGAACAACAGAAAGTAGCACAGAAGATTAAAAAAAGTGAAGCACCAGCTGAAGTAGCACATTTTTCACCGAAGTCGCGACAGTCGATTCCCAGACTACTGACTTTGAAAGTGATGAGATGTCCGCTTTTGTGGCTGCTGATTGCCTGAAAAACAGAAGACAGTTTCGGCAAATAAACAATGGTTATTGTGTCTGCCTTCTGGGATGAGAGACTGTAACCGAGAAGGAAGATGGTGCTAACACCACCAGAATTGGACATCTGTTTTTATCAAACCGATAGAAGCAGATGTGCATAATGGAGGAATTTTTGAATCTGTTTGATTGACTTAAAGTTTCAGATATGAGGACATTTATCGTGGAGATAGAGGGCAAAACTCCTGTTTGTAAAAATAGTTTATCAGATGACGGCATACAAAATACAAATGGTAGAATTATTAATGAGTGTGTTGGACTATGTCTTGATAAGTATGATTTATACTTCTTAAGATTTAGAATCTGAGTAAACTCGCTTTCTGATTATAACCTAATGTAATCTGAATATAAAAGTGAGTTTTTTAAAGCAACTTGAAAAGTGTAATTCTAATAGTGGATAACTTGATGCAACTTT